CAATTTCAGTAAGTGTTCACACATGCTCGTTACAGTTACCTTCTAAAATGCCGTGGGGAAATCTCTTGTAAAGAAAAATAGATCTCTTGTAAATAAAAATGTAATTCTCTGTCTTCTAGAAAAAGCACGATTCTGTGATTCAATAGTAACCAATTGCTACATGTAGAAGCAAATTCATGTCTGTGCATGAATCTATTAGTTTCTTGAATTCAGGAAAACATGCTTCCAAAGAACCCTGATTTATTCCAAGGCATGAACCGCATTAAAGGCCATGCAGAAATGATAAATGCAGGAATCGGCTAGAGCTAAAACGGGAGGAGGGAGATTTTCGATAACTTTTACGTCAATGCCTCGATCTAGATCATGTCAAATTGAGGAGCTGTATAATTTTCAATCACCAAAACCATGGCGAGACTAGACTGGTGATCATTTTTCTACTTTCAGATGGTGTGAAACCCGCCAAACGTAGGGCCGGAGAAGTGGTAGCGCTCTCAAGCCCTAAAATGTCACGGTCCAATTATAGGCAAGGCCCTGGTAGGGGGGAAATGACAGGAATGTGTTCACATCTACTGAAGCTAATTAGACTTCCAGGCTTTTTTTTCTTCTCTCTTCTCCTTTCTTTTCCCTTCTTTCTTTTTTCCCTATCTTCATGTATCTCTTTTCCTCCCTCCTCCTCCGTCCATCTGAACTGCCCTCCTTCCCAGTCTTTCTCTATCTCTCCGCCTACAGGGACGGATCATGGATTTTTCAAAGAGGGGGGGGGGGGGGGGGGGGGGGTGAAACGTACAAAATTGTGAGCGCAAAGCCTTTACGGCGTGGGGGTCCGGAAAATGTAGAACCTCTATGGTTCTTTCTGTGGCATTTCTGAATGCATAAATTGAACATTTATGTGAAAATTTCTTAGCATTTTTTTGTGTGGGCCCCCTCCCCCACGATCCTCTCTGGATCTACCCCTGGTCGATCTATCTCTCCCTATCTATCTCTGTCTCTCTCCCTCTCTTGCTATGTACCTCTGCTTCTTTATCTCTATCTTTATCGCCATCTCTCTCTCTCTCTCTCTCTATTCCCCCCCCCCCCCACTATCTTCCCAGACACTCCATCTCGACTCTATTCTCATCCCTTTCTTTTTTCTTCTTCTTCTATATCTTCCTTGCTCTTTCTTTCTCTCTTTGTTCGTTTATAATATCCCTGCTATCCTTACATTACATTATTCTAAAAAACATTCTCGTCTGTCTCTCTACTATCTTTTTGTCTCTATCTATCCTTATCTCTACTTCACTTTCACTCACTCTCTCTCTCTCTCTCTCTCTCTCTCCAAATCCATCATCTCTAGTATTTCTCTATATTTCTAGGTAACTCTATCTCTATTTCCATCATCATATCTTTCTTTATCCCCATCTCTTTATCTGAACTATCTCCTAATATTTCTATCTAGACTGTCCCTCTATAATTTCTCCCCCCCCCCTCTCTCTCTCTCTCTTTTTCTGTCTCTGTCTCTCTTTCTCTCTCTCTCTCTCTCTCTCCCTCTCCTTTCCTCTCTCTCTCCCTCTCTTTCTCCTCCTCCTTGATCTCATTACCCTTCAGAATAACAACTTGATTACCTTGGAGATGGTATGATCAGAATCAATTACAATTTCACACTTGAAGTGGTATTGAGCTTACCTTGTTAATTAGGCATCCCCCTTAATGAAATATTTCAACACAGCGAGTGATGCGTGATATCATTTTCAATCTAGCCAAATTTTCTGACTGCTAGATTCATTCTGGCATGATGGCACACAAGAAACATGGAAATGAGTAAAATGTGAGGTGGCTGAATGGGTATATGAAATATATGGTTGTGGTGGTAGTGGCAGTGGTAGTGGTTGTTGTGGTGGTAGTGGTGGTGGTAGTGGTTGTGGTAGTGGCTGTGGTAGTGTTCATCATAGTTGTCGAGGTTGTAGTAATAATATTTGTTGTATATAGTGGTAGTGGTATTGCATTGGTAGTGGAAGTGGCAGTGGTTGTTTAAGCGGCAGTGGTTGTTGAAGCGGAAGTGATAGTGGTAGTGATAGGGGTGGCAGAAGTGGTAGAGGTAGAGGATTTGGAAGTAGTAGTGTAGGTGGTAGCATATGTGGTAGTGGAGGAGGTGGTAAATGTAGTGGTATAGTGATAGCAGAGATAATGGCAGTAGTAGAGGTTGTGAAAGTGGTATGTAGTGACAGCGGCAGTGATAGTGAAAGTGCTGGTGGTGGTAGTGGTCATGGTGGGGGGGGGGGGGGGGGCAACAGAAAAAGTCTTTTTGCAGTATTTATTCTTTCTAAATATCAATGATTTAAATCATATCCTAATGAATGACAATGACAATGCACATGGCTGTCATTTGTATAGACCAAAATATATTATTATCAGGCTTGATGGTACTAGCAGTATTAATTGAAAAGATTAAACATTAAAGCAATAAAGTGATTAATTTGATATATTTTTCAAAATGTAGGCTCATTTTAACGAAAATATATTAGATGCACTAAGTGCATGTGCTCCAGAATTTCAGTGACCTACTTAAATCCACTTTCAATTGTTTCGTTAGCCTGGATGGAAGGCGACAAAATCAATACCATTATGTGCTAACTTTGCAATAACTTGCAATTTGGTTGATACTGCCCAGCCTAAAACCACAGGGGACTTTAGAAAACGCATTCAACTGATCCAATCAAGCGTTGACCGGCAGAAGGGCGTAGGTCTTGTACTAAATGATGATTTAAGGCCCTTCTGGCTTTGAGGGGAGGCACTGGCTTTGCTTTCCTGGGGGCCCTGATCCAATAAGAACTTCACGCTTGATGAAACTCAATACCATCATCGAAGATCGTGCATGTACCTTGTGTATATAGCACTGGCATGCATGCTCGTATGTAAACAATAGCCTTGCTGCACCACATACAGTGTACGTGTACCAAATGCACGTCTCAACATTATCATGTAAATCATTACAAGTATATTGTTTTTCACAGCTATGTCTTTTCATGTTTTTTTTTATAGATATCACTGTAACCGTTACATGTTGTAGTGATTATTCTTTAATTTTTTAAATTAACATTTCACACTCCACTTTCCATACTCTAGGACTTACATTACATTACATTTAGAGTTCAACTCATGACCTCCTTAATTCCCCTCTCCACTTTCACACACCGCTCTAGCTACCGGTTTCATGCTAAGTTTCTTCCATTTCATCTTCACTCCATTTCCGATTCACATTGTTCTATTGTTTAGTTCTCATTTGTATTCAGAACACCTCATGATCACCCTTCCATACTGTCTATTGCTTCTTATTTCTCCCTGGGTTCTTCCATTATGTTGTACTATGCCATTTTGTATGTGTCTCATTGGTTCTTTATCTATTATGTCACACATGTTCTGATTGGTTAAAATTGAGTTTCCCCAAGTAAAGTATAAAGGTCAAGAGCTGCAATATAAATAACATACAAAAGTGATGTAAGCCCTAAAGTATAGATAGTGAAGTGTGAAACCTCGAATATCAAGGTCTCATCATTTTGTCTCCTTTATTTAGAACTTGGTTGCATTTTTAAGACGTGCAAGAGTTATTTAAGTTAAGGAGCAGGAGTACAGTGTTTGTGTAGAGTCTAGGAGAAGAAAGTTGTAAGTTTACATTACATTATATCTACACAAAATATATATTACATTGTACTGTCTGCCTCTTGAGGACTCTCCAATTAGTAGCTCTTTCAGTGAGACTGTGGTATATTAGTGTAGAATGTATACAGGTGTTGTGGTCCAGTAGATACGCTTCCGGACTGTGATCCCCAAGGTACGGAGTACAAATCCATGTCACAGCACGTCCTGTGGCAAGACATTAATCTACATTTGCTACACTCTATCCAGGTGAGTTAAATGGGTATCTGTTAGGAATTACATTCCTTACAATGCTTAAATGGCAGCCATGTTAAAGCCAGGGTAATAGGGAGCACCAGGAGTGACACTGTGCCAGACATGAGCATTACACAAGACAACACTATTTTTAAAACTATCATTATTACCAAAAACATGATGTTTACACATTGCCATCAATCATAATTAACAAGCATATTGCTTTTCACATCTCTGTCTTTACATTTTAATTTGTCTAACCTTTAAAGCTCTGTTGGCACTTGTTTGCTTTCTTTGCCTCCTTTGCCACACGTGCAATTTTGCACAAAACAATAGGCACCAATTGAGAGAAGGATTACTTTGAATGAGACAAAATATGCGCAACATTTCACATTTGTGGTCTTGATGACAACCCTTTTATAAACATTGGTGTAGATCAATATTGCTCTTGAAACAGTTTTTAAAATCTTGAAGCCTCTGGTATATCTATCCAATTCGGCACAGGGAGATTATTTTGGGTGGCTTTTAAAGAGTTAATATAATAATATTATTCATACACAGTGACATTAATACAGCATACAATACTACTTTGGCTTTCACCTTAATGCAGAAAAAGAGTGAAAAGGGCATAGTGCAGATGGGAACAATCCATAAGAGGAAAGATAAGATCATAAATCCTTCCCGGCGAGCAACATTCTTTAACTTCCTTTAAAATTCTTTTGCTACTCAATGACTGAGACAAATCTTTGCAATGCAATTTTCCATGAGTTGGAGACCTTAGATATCTTTTTACATCCTTTTGGGATTTGACAGGCATTTCCATGTACCCCCCCCCCCCCTCCCCCTTTTCCCGGCTGCTATCGACTCAAGCATTCATGCTTATGATAGTTGGCCTCTGCATTTATCTTGATTCTTTTACTTATCTCCATACTTTCAAGTTTTCAATTATATATATATATATGCATTTTTATGTGTGTGTATTTCAGTTGTCACTCTTTATGTAAATCATTAATATTATATACTATTATTATTATTTGAATGTTTTGTACTTGATTTATCAATAAATGCAGAAAAATGTGCTTTAATTTTTTTTTTTTTAAGATAGAGACCTTAGATATCCTTTTGCTACTCACCTTTATGCAGACAAAGAGTGAAAAGGGCACAGTACAGATAAGAACAATCCATGAGAAAAACGTTAAGATCATTCCACAACATCCTATCCCTCCATCAGGTTCACCAGCTAAAGGAAAAAACAAAAATTAAACAAAATATTTAGTTTTGGTGGTGGAATATAATAATCATCTGTGTGAAGCTACAATGGCACTGATCCATATTACTTTGACATGGAGTTAACGCCCTTTTGACCCCCAAACAGAAAACATGGTTAAACGAGTTTGTTAATATTTGTGAATGTGATGTATCATGTATGCCATAATGAATAACATGAAGTATTAGCCCTGCATTGTTAATAATAAAACATGACCTGGGCTTTTTCTCTTTTCTACTTTTATATATTTTTTTTTATCGTAGTATCTATAAAAGTTTGTGTACTATTACTTCCAGTGTTAATAATCATGATCAAGTGATATTGAAACAAAACAGATTGGAGACAATATTGAGGTCTGGTGGTTAAATCTGAATATGAGACTGCAGAAAATATGTAATTCTGATGAAAAGTGAAGATAATTTTAAAGTTCTGATATTTAAATAAAAAAATAAACAAACACAAAAAATACAATGTTTCCTTCTAGTTGTGAAATAAAAACACTCATATTAGAGATAATTCTTAGTTCAGGTAGTGATATTCAGACAAAGATTTATGATGATATTTAGTTCTGGTAGTAAAATTTTGACAAAGATTTTAAATAATGTTTAGCTCTGGTAATGAAATTTCAACATGAAGATTGAAGATAATATTTTAGTTCATGTAGTGAAATTCAAACAAAAATCAAAGATACATTTCCTTCTGGTTGTTTTGTTAACGAAAGGTTTGTGATATTTTTTTTTTTGGTAGAGATATTGAACAAAGCTTTAAAAAAAAGTTTAGTTCTGGTAATTAAACATAAACACAGATTTTTGATAATATCTAGTTGCAGTAGTCAAGTTCAAAGATTGGTGATAATGAGTGAGTAGATCTGGCAGTGAAACGGTATAGGAATGAAACTTGATGATCCTGAAGGGCATTTACCTGCGTTAAGGTATATGAATTCACACCTTCATTGCTCCAAACATACCATTTTTATTATGTGTTTGCCTGAAGGCCAGATTTTGCAAAGTCTGTAAAATGAACTGTCAATGATTCTTTGCGTACATCTACACATCAAATTTCAATTGTTAATCTTCTTTATAAATATGTAACATGTAAGGATGCAACTTCACCATAATGTGTTTTCACATTTTGATATTAGTAAAACAGAAATGTGCTCATTCGTAACACAAGTATAAGGTCATTCAGGTACAAAAGATAGAGCAAGAAAAAAATGTCTCAACATAAAACATGAAAAAGACATTAAAGAAATTTCTCTGCAAGCAGATGTATAGTACAACTGATGCATAGATCCAGCGACCCAGCTAAGTCTCTCATAAAAAATAGTATTATCGAAGCAAACAGCTACATTTGCTTCGGGATATTCAATGATTGATATATTTCTCTCTCCCTCTCTCTCTCTCTCTCTCTCTAGATCATAAGATGAAATATATATATTATTATTGAAGCAAACAGCTACATTTACTTGGGGATATTCAATTATTAATATATTTCTATCTCTCTCCCTCTCTCTGTCTGTCTAGACCATAAGAGTCTTGGGAATATGCATTCTCATCAAATATGGATTCTTATGAAATATGGATGCAGATGAAAAACTAATTAATTGTGAAGAACACAGATCCCAGAGCTCTGGCTAGAGGGAGGGAGAGAGGGAGGGGAGAAAGAGAGAGAGAGAGAGAGAGAGAGAGAGAGAGAGAGAGAAAGAGAGAGAGAGGCAGATGGGGAATAAAAAGCTTAATAAAGATAGTGGCCAGGCTATAGGGTGGGGAAGATAAAGAGGGAGACATAGATAGATGAGAAATAGAGAAACTATATCCCCATAGCCAGCATTTGGATGTGGGTTGGGGGTCAAGCTGGTTTTCTCTCCTACCGATTCCCCATTTGGCTTATTTTTAGCTTTCAGGTTGAAAGAAACTACTCCCCCCCCCCATCCCCACCAAGACATCAGATACTAATGAGAGACACAATGAGCTAGAGGAGAGAGAGAGAGAGAGAGAGAGAGAGAGAGAGAGAGGGGGGGAGAGAGAGAGGGGGGGGGGAGAGAGAAAAGAGAGAATGGAGAAGGGGAGAGGAGAGAAAGGGACAGACAGGGGGATGTAGATACGATGAGGGGAAGACAGCAGAGAGAAGGAAAGGGAGAGAGTGAGAAAGAGAGAGTGTGAGATAGAGGAAGAGAAAGAGAGATAGAAAGAAAAGGAAAGAGAGAGATAGAACAAGAAAGAGAGAAAGAAAGAGAGAGAGAGAGAGATAGAAAGAGAAAAAGATCGGGGTAATCTTAAAAGTGAATACAGAATGAATCTAAACATAAGAGTCAGACATTTCTCATTAATTATTCATACAGTAATTATTACAAGGGCTTACAAATCAGCATTTCAACCAGCATTAAGTGAAGCTGGCATATACTCCACCACTCCCCCCTCCCCTTTTGATGGAAAACCATAAAATTGATAACAATAGCAACGGGTCCAGAGCACATAGAGTCTGACATGACACATAATGCGTCTTCTTTTTGAAGACCCGTGCACCCTCCAATTAATTAATTTCTGAATACACAAATTAAATTTAATAATTAATAAGGTGCTATACAGAGCAAGAAAATGTTATTGTTGATTAGTTTGAAATGATTTGTTTCAAAACTGAAAACGGTACATCACTTGAAAGGTACTTGAACAAATACAGCACATGAAAATGAATGCCACACATGCACATTAAATTTAGCTAAATGGTCTTATATTATAACTTTATAATTAACTTAAAAGTATTGGATTTTTACATTTTTTAGAACTGAGGGGGGGGGGGAATAGATAGTGTTACTGTCCTGGTATTAAGCCTGTTTCTAGTCATCTCAAATTTCTTTATCACACAAACTGAGAATGATTTATGATCTGCATTCCACACACCAAACATCATTCATATTTATATTCCCCAGGTTTACTACCCCATCTAAATGTCAAAGAACTATCAAGAAGAGGAATTCTGTCCGACGACGCACCACCCTCCTATCGTCCTCTCCGAGAAGACAAGCCTTGCATCATTTCCCTTCTAATATAAATCACCTGCTACTGGCACAGAGGGCACCGCCATAAATTGAGTAGCATATTGGATATTGATTTCGGATGGTGACATATGCGTTGCGCTCACACAACGAGCAGGTCGGAGGATATCCCTTTTCTGTCTTGACGCACGTCGACACGACTACAGCTTGGTAAACATCGAGCTGCGGCGGAGAGAAGGACGCGAGATGCAGGAAAATGGTCTCTGTCTTAATACTGCTGGTTACTACTGGTAGGTATCAGTGGTGCAGCTACTGAGGAGCATGGGGCACAATCACACTCCCTTCCCCCATTACATAGCAAAGGGGGGGGGGGAGAAGAGAATAAAAACTAAATAAAAAAAAAGAAGGAAGATGATCAATAAAGCCCCATTTGCCATTCCACACGCTCCCCTTACTTCATTGTCATGTTTTGAAAGCATTTCATTTCCAACACCAGACATAATGACACATGTCTCTCTCCCCCTCATCAAATGGTGAACATAAGAGGCCCTCATTATCTCATCCTAATGTATTAGTGACAAGGTATTCCTAAATGTTCTTTTAAATCCTATCTCATTTCTATCTGAGAGATGATAAAACAAGTTCACATCTTACTGAGTTTAGAGAAAAGGGTGAAAGAAAGAAAAATCCTTGAATTGGTATAATGCATCATCACAATTTAATGATACAACTCCCTTTCCAGACCCTCCTCACTCAATGGCATTGTTATTTTGCATTTCATCCATCTGACAAGTATTATTGCCCTTTGAAGAAACAAGAGCTCCCTCAAAGGGTCAACACACTCTACGCCACAAGTAATATGTTACATCCTTGTATTCCTGAGCTTGCAACATTCTTTTTACATCTCGCCAAGTCAGTTCAAAGATTCCTGGAAACAAGACTGTTAAAAAATAACCTTTAGTTTGCTATCATTTTTTTCCATCTCACTGTGACAGATAAAAGGGTGCAGGATAAAGGAGAATACTATTAAGCTTCTCGGATTTCTTTAAAATCTTTTGACGAATGTAAGGATGGGGGAAGGAAGAGAATAGTCGTTTAAGCTTGCTACTTTCTTTGAATTTCCCGCTGCGACAGAAGAAGGATAATGGATAAAAGAGAATAGTCTTTTGCTTTCCACATTCCTTTTAAATCCCCCTGCATTAGACAGAACCACTCAAGGTTTAATCTCATCATACAAGAGTCCTTTAAAAATGTGCTAGGTATAATTTCATCACACAAGAGTCCTTTAAAACTGCACTAGGTATACCTTGAGGGGTTGAATTATCTGACACTATATAATTTATGCAGCGTAATACATACAGTATATCAATATGTATAGTGAAATCATTCTAAGAGAATTGGAAGATGAAAATGGGATACAAGTGGGTGGTCATTCAATCACAAATATTAGATATGCTGATGACACTGTTTTATTTTCTGAATCAGAGAATGGTCTCCAGAGACTCCTGAATGTAGTTGTAAAAGAAAGTGAGAGAATGGGACTAGAGATAAACTATATCAAGACAAAGTGCTTGGTGGTATCCAAGAAGAGCAGTCCAAAATGTAACTTCAAACTGAAAGAACAGACTATTAAACAAGTCTCCTCATTTAACTACCTCGGCAGCATGATCACCGAGGATGCCAGATGCGAAACAGAGATTAAGAGAAGGATAGCTCTCGCTAAATCTGCATTTTCAAAGTTAGGCAAAATTCTGACAAATCGAACAATGTGTATGAAGACCAGAATAAGGGTATTGAATTGTTACATCTACCCAGTACTTATGTATGGTAGTGAAACATGGACTTTAGCCTCTGATACTAAAAAGCGTTTGGAAAGTTGCGAAATGAGGTTTCTAAGAAGAATGATGAAAATCCCCTGGACTGACAAAGTTAGTAATGAGGAAGTTCTTACACGAGCTGGAGTGCAAAGGAAAATGATATGTGAGATGTTGATTAGGCAGTTGAAGTTCATGGGTCACATTACACGTAAAGAAGGCCTAGAGAATCTTGCTTTGACAGGGAAAATTGTGGGAAGAAGGAGTAGGGGAAGAAGGAGGATACTTTGGATGGACAGTCTGCAGAAATTGTCGAAAGAGAGAGGAGTGAAAGAACCGGGAGTGGTACTAATACAGAAGGCTAGGAGCCGAGGGTTGTGGAACAGCATGATCGCCAAAGTCAAACGATATGGCACTTAGAGAGAGAAAAATCATAATATTACATATTAACATATTTATTAATCTTAGGATTTTTGCTGAGTTTTGGAAGGAGAGACAATTGCTTGGTTACCAAATTCTATTTTGGTATCTACCTTACAGTAGATTGTTGAAAATCAAAAGAATAGAAATGTTTATTTGCCATATGAGTCACACAAGCATTTAACAAATTGTTTCTTAAAAGATTTGAAAGATCAATCGCACCTACGAAGCTCTCATTATCTTATCTTAATGCATTAGTGACAAAGATTCCTAAATGATCTTTAAAAACCAAATGCATTTCTATCTGAGAGATGATGAAACAAGTTCACATCTTACTGAGATCATGAAGGCAAACATGATACTTAACATTGTTGATCAACAATATACCAGTAACATAGCTGGAATATGAATGGCCTCTATACACTTCCTGTGACCATGAATGTTAAGCTATGCAGTTCAACTCTCTTACAAGGTGACTATTTTTTGTATGTGAAATAATAATGAAAATGACAACCATTGATTAATGTGATTAATTAAAATGAGTACCACCTTTTCAATTACAAAAGAAATGTGATGCTTTCTCAAGGTGATTTAAGTCACATATAATTTGTTTAATGATTCCAGAAATGTCTACAAACTACTCAGGATGTGGATTCTCATTAAAATGACAAAATAGTATTAACATCATAATGCATCATTCTTTTTCTGAAGATTTCTCACAGTATTTCTAGAAACCATACACTCGCCATGCAAATATACAACTGGAACATTGTATGACACATGACTTAGCTAAATTCGCTTTGTGGCAAATGTTTTTCTCAACTAACTACATTCCTAACTAAAAGTCAGGAACTAAGACTTTACCAACACAAATCACTAACCCTAATCTTAACTTTTTTAAAATTGCAACTCAATTCCTAACACTGTATCTTTGACAAAATAAATCCTGTGTCGGAGCAAATTTTGAACACTAGAATGACATCTTTATTGACAACACTTGCCCTTATGCCCAAAAAATATTTTTCATAAAAGAAAAAATCTCTCTAAAGCTTCTGCATCACTCTTGATTGCTAGAATGACATATTCGTTGACAACCACTTGACCTTACGCAAAAAAAACACAGAAAAGAACAAATCTTTTTGAAGCTGCTTCATCATCCCATGCACGATCCCTACCTGAATGAAACCTTATTAACATACACAGTGATGAGAAAACATAATAACTGTATCTTTCCCAACATCGTCAATAAACAATGGGCCTTGAGCGACGTCGGACAACGAGATGAGAATACCAACGACAATATGGTCATCCAACTGCAAAATGAGCTCCAGCTGAAACACAATGGCATCTGAACCCCAGAGACTATTTAGAAATCCTCGAAGTGATGATTGTGCACAAATCAACCACTTTATTTCCCATTTTTGTATTTTGTTTACCTCCAATGATCGAAGTGAACGCTCGCTCCTTCCAAACGGTATTTTGACCCTCCTCCTCCTCCTTATGGGAATCCATGATGGGAAGAGAATGTAGCTACTCCTCTCCAATAAGGGTTGTTACCCATGCCACAAAGGAAAAAGAATTAAACTGAGCGAGCCCCGGCCGGTGATGATGTGATGTACGTGCCATATGTGACTGGGAGCCGTCAGCACTTTAATACAGGGGACAGGGATGTGCATTGTGTGGATGTATTGTAGTGAGAGCGTGCGTGCGTGTGGGTTGGTGCATGTGTGTGTGTGGGTGCATGTGTGTGTGTGGGTGGATCAGTGTGTGTGGGTGAGTTGTGTGTGTGTGGGAGTGTGTGTATGGAGTATAGGAATCTCTGGTGGCACGCTGTGTGATGTGGAGTTCAAAGCCTTGAAGAAGTGAATATGATTGCGTTTATGAGGATGATAGAGAAAAAGGAAGATTGGAGAGTGGAGTTGCGACGAGGAAAGTAGGAAAGAGAGAGAGAGGAAAATCAAGAGGGAGAGAGTAGGGCAGATAGAACACGGCTTAAGGACAGAAAGAAACAAAAACAAAGGTCAAGAATGACAGAGTAAACAAAGAGAGAAGATTGAGAGAAGAACAGGGAACAGAGAAGGGGAAAGCAACAAGAGACCAAGGGGAAAAAAAATGTGAGAGATAAGGGGGAGACAGGTAAACAGGGGGATAGAAAGGAAGAGGAAGAGAACAAAGAAAAGGAGAGACAAAGAAAGAGGGAGGGAAATTGGGGCAGAATGAGAAATGGACAGAGGGTGACACTAGAGAAAGAGGGGAGGGGAGGGGAGGGAGGGAGGGAGGGGAGGGAGGGAGGAAGGGAGGGAGGGAGAGAGAGAGAGAGAATGAGAGAGATGGGTACAATGAGGGAGATGGAAGAGAAAAATGAAGAAAAGAAACAGACACAAATGGGATTATGGGTGACATTAAACAAAGGAAAATCACAGATTTTTTATGTGCCTTTATTGTGCATGAAGCGAGACAAGACATACAAAAAAACTCACAAAAACACATGAGTTTATTGAACAAAATCAGTAATATTCAAAGCTCTAGAAATAGATTATGCAAAAATGGAGCATCAAGTTGTCCCCTTCAAATAAAGATGGACATGAAAAAGCTGGAGACAAAAAAATGTGTAGAAGACACACCACAGTTATACCTCTCTAGATCAACAATAAATAATGAACTACAAATTGCAAGACAAAGATCATGAAGTAATATTTAATAAGATATGGCAAAATGAAAACACAACAAAACCTGCAATGATATATTTAACAAATATGACGGACTGCTATGTGTGCTTGAAGGAAAAACAAGCAATTAATATTCAATATTAAGCCATAAAGACGGAAGAGCTTGACTTATATTTTCCGGGCATACTATAAACGGCATGTAGCACCTCCGGCATAGTCATGCATTACTGCACATACTAATTATCTTTCTTGAGACTTGAAAATGTTAATATTGTTCTAGTCTTGTTTCCAGACACTGCGCATACTAATTATCTTTTTGAGACTTGAAAATGTTGCTTTTATTTCGGCCTTGATTAGAGACTGAATATGCTATTGCACATCCTGATTTTGTATTTCATAAAAAAATTAAAAAATAAAATTTTTAGGGGCAGCTTTAAATTGTTGATATTTGATAGCCTTTTTAACAACATATTTAGATTAGGTTCATGATAAAGGTTGAAAATTATATGACTGGAAATGAGACTGCCTAGGGTGGCATATCATGTGGAATAATCCGCACAGCAGTGCGTGCATCACTATATCATCTTCAATCAATATTTTGGATAGAAAGAAACATGCACAGATTAATTCAATTTCATCGTTGAATGGGAGTAGAGAAATATACCTACAAGACACATTGGTGCATATATTTTCGTTTTTATCTTTAATCAATATTTCAGATGAGAAATTGAAATCATCATTCTGTTTTTAATGTCAGTACAGAATATATATTAAAGTAAATATATATCAAAGCAAATATATATCAAAGTAATTATATGTTAAAGAGAATACATATTGAAGTAAATATATATAAAAATAAACATTACCGTAGGCATTGCATTGCATACGTTTCTGTATCATCATTATTCAGTATTAACAAAAATAATGATTGCATAAATATAACCCAATTCTAATCATCCTTTGATTCTATTGTTCATGATATGGCATGACAATGCAAATATCTTGTATCACATGAAATCAATATACTGGATGGGAGGAAGCATGCAGGCATAGCTTTCCAATCATCTTTTCTTTGAATATGAATTGAGAAATATCAGGCATAGCAAATGGTATGATACACAAGCCATATATAGACTCGGTGGATATGAGAATAACTTATTTTAAATCACCCATTTCTTGAATGTCAATGCCAATAAAATCATGAAATATTGATGAATATCGAAGACGAATAAACAGAGATAAGCAGTTGTTTATCCAGGAGTATTCTACAGGGGGGTCGCTATGGGATCACAAACATACTTCGATTCAAGGCCTGATAAAATTAAATAAAAAGGAATAATGTTAAATATAAATCTTATAATTAGTTTGTCATGCAATAATAATTGTATTAGCAACTGTCCAATTATTTTGTTTGAAGCAACCTTTTGCTTTTCATATGTAATGAGAATAGTTTCAACCCATTTTAATTTTGCTTAAGTAGTTTAATTCCATTCAATTCATTGAAAGTTAAAAAACAAAATTTGTATATTTGAACGTTTACAAAAAGTAGATTTGTCTGGATGAACAGAGACTCCTGACTCGATATATATCCTCATACAGCTGTCAGAAATATATTTGAAAGAAATTGGTAATCATCTTTGGTCTTAGACCATCTTAATGAGCCAACAAATAGATATATTCATTAGATTAAAGACTCTGACCCATGATGCGCATCAGAGGCTAATGTGAAACCAGACAGTCACACTAGTATCATACTTTCAATGTGAATGAAATATAAAAGCACACAGCCATCATCTACTTTTCACATTGCTTTGCTCCCCTCTCCCCCCCCCCCCCCCCTCTCCCTCTCTCTCTCTCTTTTTTTTCTTCCCATTTCCCCCCATTCAAAGGGGGAGGAGAGATGACCCCCATCGAAGCTACGCCACTGCTCAGCATTACCTTTAATATAAACATCTCACTTCCAACAAACCTTGATTGAAATGCGTTGCACCCAACGTCACATCCATCATTAGAGGCCTCTGGCTAGACCATGTCCAATTAACCTACTCTCCATCACAGGCATGACTTAGACACCCCAAGACACTAGGCCTGTCCTCATCAGCTCGAGATTACCTAATAGCCCGCTATAGCCTGCTGATTAAGGAAATAATCCCAAAGTTACAAATTGCGTCTCCATCAGCTCGAGACTTCGAAAATTGAAACTAGAGCTCGAGAAATTAGCTCGAGATATTTTGCTCAGCATTTGTGCAAAGTGCGAGTCTTTGGGCTGTTGTTCGGGCTGGTGATGACGCACTGGACAAATAGCGGATATTTTGCAAACTAGCCAAAGATATCTTGGGATGACAATCCCGACCAAATATCCTGCTAATTGCAACTTCAGGCTGATGAAGACGCAAATTAACTGGATAATTTGCGATCGGGATAGTTCAAATAGTGGAATATTTGGCAATCTTGAGCTGATGAAAACAGGCCTACTGTTTACAAGCGCTTTGAAGTTCACATCAGGTTTGATCTAATCACCTCTTGGTTGTCCACAGGACATGAGGTCACCTGTTATCCGTACATTGACGGCTAATTTAAATGAAATTTAGGTGTCACTCCAATGTGATGACAAGTTTTGAAATTTCATCACAATTTCCTGAGCCACAGACATGTCTCAATAGGCTCAATGATCCCAATTAAACATTTAAATCTAAAGGTTAAAATTACCACTCCCCTGTATGCAGGTGCATGTTCCCTGTTCATCGGAAGGAACCATGCTCAAACTACAAAGGTTTACTTAGTTTAAATCTAAAGTTATACAATGGGAGGGGGAGGGGGAAGAAGGGGAGGGGGAGGAAGGGGAGGAAGGAGAGGGGAAGGGGAGGGGAAGGGGAGGGGAAGGGGAGGGGAAGGGGAGGGAGGGGAGAGGAAGGGAAGAGGAGGGGGAGGTGGGCACACTTGATCGTTCATAAAGCCAGGGTAATAATGCTACTTTGAAGGGCCCCTTGCGAATGCCCTGGGATTATTATTATCATTATAAAGGCAGAATTTGGCTGATAGATATCTGTCCTCTCCTCCCCCTGAAAATGCTTTCATACCATCTTTTAGATATTTAATTTCCCCCCCCCCCCCTTCTCTCTCCCTCTCTCTCCATCTCTCTCTCTCTCTCTCTCTCTCTCCCACCTCTTCTTTCTGCCTCTCTACTTTTCCTTTTCCTGAATGAGTAATGACAGTGATTGAAACAATATGAAATCAAAACGCTGTATCTTTATAATATCAGTAGACTTGAATGTCAAACTGTATGAAAAAAATAATACCTTATTTAATTGAAGTATTTTGGTGATCACGGAGCAAAATTCTTACCCCCTATGATATCTGCAAAGGCTGGCTCTTTGTAAACAACCGGCTCCTCTTCTGGCTCCACAGATGTCATTTTCTCCTCCTTTATTCCAAACAGAATTCTCCACAGATAGTTCAAAATATGTTGAAGAGTTACACAGATTGTGTGCATTCAAGCCAGAATTCATTTCTCTCTTGGTACTTGACTTATTCCAAGAATTTTTTTTAAAGAGATAATTAAATATAGAATGAATTGATACTTAAATATTTTGATCATGAGCTCCCAAATGCCAAACTAAGGATGTTCTTGTTGAATCACAAAGAAGTCAAAGCTAATTGACATCAAAAGGTTAACTAGGCAAAATTTCTGATGACGACTGGTTGAAATCACACAAAGCTCATTCCAATTCTAATGGTGTTTCTTTTTCGAACAAAGAACGTAATCACTAGCACCGCAGCGTAAAGACGACAACCACACCTGACTACGTTTTGCTCAGTCAAAGGTGAATAAAGCATATACGGGGATCAGCATTACCAGAAGCCAAGCTTTCACGAGCTATACATGACCTTTCACTAGCCAGAGACAGCTCTTTGACGGCACAGAACAAACTTTCTTCCAAATTTG